TCAAATTAAATTTTTATTAGCATTTGAATTTCAAATATTGACAAAAATTCGTCAAAACCATGAATATTTGCAAATTATTTTGTAGTTCAAAATGTATAATATTGTTTGTATTTRTATCTAAGGTTATAAAATTTAACACCAAGTTTTCCATAAGTTTTGCTTCAAAYWGMTATAGAGAAAATTTGAAGCGTCATTATAGGAAAAATGTTTTGAGCGTTAAATCTTGGTACTCCATATTAACTCTTATTGTTTTTTTGACAGTTGTTAAATTAAAATTGTTCAAGTTATTTATTGAAGCCTGTTTCTATAATTTCAAATTATTAAGGCTTAACTCATAATTATGTTAATAGGTACTTTATACCTATATATATGTTAAATATTTATATTTATTATACTACACCAATTTCACAATTTTAAATGTTTTTAATAATTAGTTTGAATTTTGCTTTTATGAAGAATTAGGTACCTATTATTTATTTTAAAATATCTCACTTTTTTTTTTATTGCGGAGGAATTAGGGTCTTCATTGTCATGTGTTTCTACCTCGTTAGGCATTTTTTCCTTACTATAAATTATAAAAATAATAAATACCTTGTTAAATAAATATCCTATAATATTAATATTACAAACCTAGCACCATATTTTGTATCACAAACATGAAACATGGTAATATTTCTGATTTGTAATAATCATTATTTTCATATATAACTATTGTATATTTGTATGTAGTACTGTTTGTTTATAAATATTTTAATTTACTTACCTTGAAGTTCTTCATATGGTTTTGGGTGTATTCTTTGTATATGCCTTTCAAGTGTAGCGCTATGTCGGCCTTTTATGAATAACTCACACTTATTTACTTGGCATATACAAGAATTTGTCAAAATATTATATAAAAAAAAATATTTTTTCCACAGGGTTTGTATTTTTACGACCCATAATAAAACTGAACTTTTAAACAGGGGAAAAAAATACGTCAATGGTTTTCAAATGCAGACTATCCAGGCGTTTGTCAAAATCGACTAAGATAACATTTTTCAACGGTAAAATACACATTTATTCGGGTAATTCCACTGTTAAACTGTTAAAGTGTTAAATAAAACATTTATTTTTATTTCATAATATTATTAACAATAATATAGAATTAGAAATAATTTGAACTTGGGAATTTTCAGGACATTCTTTGTTTATAGTTTTCGGTCACACTGCTGGATAGATTTTTGGGATTTCTACTTTACTAAGTTGGCAGTTGTGTTCTTGAACATTTTGTCCATTTGGATTTCAAATATTTTTTTATTTTTTTTTGATAATATTTTTTCGATTTCGGTTTTAATTGCGGTTTTTTAACTTTTCGGTTTAGGTTCTGTAACGGTTTCAGTTTTCAATTTTTTTTCGKGTAAAACCGGTTTCCAAAAACCGGTTCGATTACGGTTCCTGTCTCTGATATAAGGTATTATGAATTATGATAACTACATGATAACTACACTAATTGATTAACCATGCCATATGCAAAATGCGTCTTAATTGAAAAATAAAATATTTGTTTCAAAATAGAATGTATGACAATATTATCCTAGACTAACAAATCATCTCCGTTCAGAATCGTTTTTCGTATATAATAATACCTATCATTGCATTCAAATTTAATCCCATCCATTACAGTCACCTACTGTACAGCAGAGCGACATCCACGATTTACCCGCTTTTTTTAGTTTATGGGGAGGAGGGAATTAAAACTTCTTTTTATTAAAACGTAAGATCCACCATCTTTGTAGGAAACGAATTGGCGTCTTATAAATGATGGATTTAAACACCATTTGAATATAATATATTCTATGAGACGTCAAACTATATTGTATAGGGTGTTTCAAACTATCCGGAGATTCAAAAGGGCCGTCATTTTTTATAGTTAATCTCGTAACTTGATAACATGTGATTTTTTTTTATTTAACACATTTCAACCATAACAACTGAAGAAAATGATATGTTATTTTTATAGAAATAAATTAGATTTATATCATCAATATTCGTTATAGACTTGGTAAATGACACTAGAGATTAGAGTGATTCGCAACGTGTAAAATGCAAAATAGCGAACTTTACTAAGCTTTTTTTTAAACTAAATCCAACTATTAAATTCTGACTTTACCATTGACTTCAGTATAACAGACTACATAAGTTTTAGAAAATGGGTGTACAGTGGAGTAAAAAGTTCCAAAATACTTGTCATTAAATTAGATTATACGCAGATTTATGACTATTATTGAATTATTATAATTTATAATTATTGTGTTAAGTGTATCATTAAAATTAACTATACTATGATTCTATATAATTAAATTAGATATAAAAGTATGTGATAGACCACATACAAGAATGCCGAAAACGTGCAATAGACCACATTCAAGAATGCTTCATAGCAGGTGAATGGAATGGATTAATGAAGTATATACAAACGAAAAATTTTGATTGTATAATAATAAAAAACATAATTATTATACAAAATATTTACTTACCAGTATTATGTTGGCCATGCCATAACATACTTAATCACAAATATTAAACAATCATAAAAATTAAAGTTAAAAAAAATCTTTTAAAATAACTTAAAACTACCAATGCTTATTAATAATCGACAAACTCCTTGTAAGGTTTACATTGAGTATTTTAATGCTTTGATAACAAGTTATGAAGCTAGACTAATTTCATGGTTTAATCTTGTAATGGATAGTGTTCAGCAGCTATGAAATCATTGATATGGAAAAAAGTATCAAAATTAATCGCCAAAAACCTGAAAAAAAAATTAAATATTTTGTATAATCATTTTAATATATATTTTTAAATTTATACATTTAACTTATAAAAATAGTTCGTTGGTTTTTGGTTAACAGCCTGTTTTTACTGTAGGGGGGATACAGTTAGTACGGAACACCGCAGTAGTTATGAGGCCCGAAGATTCCTCACTAATAAATCCCTGTGTTCACCCATTAGGAAACTAGTGACAACGGTGACCAGTCAAATAATATCTTCGAATTGAAATATATCCAGCTGAAAATATCAATGGTACAAAATGTCTCCGTTTAAAAATATTTCCAATGAAAATATTTTAATAATTATTATATTTAATCATATTATGTTATTATTATTATTACAAGGGCTGCGATCCGAGTTGGGTCCCAAATTTAAAATTGCTACACTAGTTGGATCCCGAATTATTTTAGGTACAACACTAGAGTTGGGTTCCGGATTTTTGTAGGTACTACACTAGTTCGGTCCTGAATTATTTTAGCTACAACATTAGTTCTTGAATATTTTTTGGTAAGTACTACACTATATTAACATTTTCCTTCCGTTTTTCACAGACTTAGGACTGTCTATAATCTATTTAGGCCACAGGTATGGTTAAAAATGTTTTTTACAGTTTTTTTTTGTTTTGTTTCTTTTCCATTAAAATATAAGTTATTAGAATTTTATAAAAAATCAACTACACAAAATGACTTTTGTGTTGGTAAAAATATTAAAAATGTTAAAAACCGAGTATAAAAATACATATTATATAATATAAATATAGCCATATAGAT